ACACTGCTGAACTGTAACTTTTCATAAGTTTGGCTTGTAGAATCATGACACAATTCACATACCTAAAACTAATAATGCAAACCAAAGCAAACAGCAGAAACAAAAATACCTATTTCAAATGAATGGCATAACCACACTAAATGCAGGGAAGACTAAATCATCTCTTGAACCCAGCATTTGACTATATGCTCAGTCAAAACAGAAATTGGTGAATATTTTTTACTGAACAGATAATTACTGAAGTCTAGTCAGTAGGCTTGTTTGGGTTCTATGCAACAGTATGACTAGACAAATCTGAAACGAGCTGACAGACGTTCTGGTTTAAGGTAAATAAGTAAATATATAGTAGATGGAGGGAGCTGTGCTTTTCACCATTGTGAAAAGATTACAAATATAAAAAGGTGAAAGATGAAAATGAGCTCTGATTTTGGACAGGTATTGGTGGCACTTATATGACCTCATGGTGTGTCATAAATAGAAAGATAAAGAGACACAGAACTATTTGGAAGTTCTGTAAATGGAGGCTCAGGATTGACTATCTTGAGAGTTAAACAACCTGAATGGGCCTATTTTAGGCGCCATAATAGTCTCTTGAATTTTAACATCCGGAGGCCAACAGGCTCTCACTATGAAGGTCAGAAAGGAACCTCCTCATGCTTCTGACTTAACTAACTCGGGAAATGGGAAGACTCAGCTCCAGCCCAGCTGACTAAGTACTGGAAAAATACTTTCCTTTGAGAGAAGGACTTACTTAGGAAAACAGAAAACTCTGCACATATTTCACATGTTTACTTGGCATCCACTAAAAATAATTTCCAGAGAAATATAGTTGATAGGATACAGGATATAAAAGATGGAGTTATATAAAAACTCAATTAAAACCTGAAAAGGCAGAAAAGAGTGAAAGACGAAAGAAGCAACAGTATTTGGTGAAGGTTAAGGAATTTATGTTTATTTTTCTCTTGCTCATTCTCATCTGTTCTTCCCTAAAAAATTACTGAGGGAATCCTCTCATAAGGAAAATAAAACAGAAACCAGGAGTTTGCTTCCCAATATATTTGCCTAAGGACCGTAAAGGAAATTCTGGCCATAGGACCATAAAGGAAATTGCTCCTGATACTCAGCATTCCTGGGTGTTTGCTGTTGTAAGTATTAGCAACCCCAAACATTACTTCTTTTCGTTACAAGTGAATAATGTCTACCCCTTAGACATAGGGCTCGAGTCCACTAAATGTAGCTGGAGATTCCTCTCTACTCACAGTTAGAAATACTTCTGTTTAATGTGACTGAAATTTTTACAAAAAATCAGAAAAAGTGAATTTTTCAGGTAGAGTATGAAAGGAATAAGTACATGCTTTTCTGAGCAAGTAATCATTTGGATGATTTGTTATATCCTATAGGCAGTTGAAAGGAGATATCTAATTGCTTTGGTGCACCTGGGAAATAAATGAGTCTCATAATTTTTAGCTGTTACCTGTTTATTGTTTTCTTCAGGGGGATTTAATTCAAATTCAATCCCTTTCAATAATTGCTCCTGTCTTAGCCATGGCAAAGAATATGTCTCACAATCATTTTAAAGTTGGGTTTAAACAAAGACATCAACATTTATTATGGTTGACATTAATAGTCCCCTGTTATTAAAACCGTCTCATATTGGGAGATTTATAACATAATCACTCATTTGCTTTGAGAAAAAAAATCATTAAATAAATACCTCATTTTTCCTCCTCTGCAGCCATGTCTTGATTACAACTTATTTTTGTCAACTGGAGGATTCTCCAAATGAATGATACTATTACCCATAGGTCACTCAATTCAATCAGATTAAACATATCAAACATACTTTCATATAATAATAATTATGGGTAGCAAATAAATGCATTGACATTCCAAAAACTGAGAAAAATTGTTTAAGTCTATTGTGATAAAAGTGGAAATCATCTGATGAATTTAGTTCTTCAGGAAAAAATCTAAATGTGCCAATATGCAAGAAGCACATGGGAAAATAAAGGTAATGGGGAAAATTAGGGTAGTTCTCAAAGGTCATGTCCAGCCCAGTTATCAGCTGGAGGACTAATTGGGTTGTTAGTCACTTTTACCAATTTCATTGGGAAATTATATCTCCAAGTATTAGAGACAAGGGTAAGTATTAACTCATAAAAGGTGTTGAAATATTCATCATAATAATTATAATTGTACTTACTGTGAAAAGGAGTAAGAAAATGACAATGCAAAAGAATAATATGGAAGCTGAACTCTGAATATTACTTAATTGGAAAAGTTATCAATCATAATTTCATCACCTGCAAATACATACAAAATGATAAGTTCATTTTGCTTGAATATGCATCTCTGATTTCAAATGAACTGAGCATTTTTTTATAGGTTGATCAGCCTTTGATGTTTTCCTTAAATTGCCCTTTTCTCTCTTGATTTTGCTAACTTTTGCTTGTTGATTTGCCAGTTTCTTCTACATCTGGATAATAATTCTTCACTGGTTCTAGACATCGCCATCATCTTTGCCATAGATAACAGTGTATTATCCATTAACTTTGCCCATGACATTCCTCACTGAATAGAAATATTTAATGTTGTATACTCAAATTCATCAGTCTTTTACTATATGATCTGTTATTTCTAAGTTTGTTTTGGGGGTCCTCTGCCATGCCTAGGAGATAAATATTCTATTAAATTTTTCTTATGCTCTGTTTTAATGTTTTGCACATTTAATTGTTTCATGTGCATCAAATCCATCCTTTTGTTGAGCACATTTCACTTTTTTATATAAAGTGAACCAGCTTTCCTGTCATGCAATGTGAACTTTTCCAATTAATTTGGGGTACTGTCTCCTTCATATTATGGGATTGGGTGTCTGTGCATGCTTACCCATACATCATGTTCTAGTTTTCTGGGTGTGTGTGTGTGTGTGTGTGTGTAGTGTAATAACATCTTTCTGCTTATATTACTATGACTTTCTAGAATGTTTTTTAAAGGTTTACTTACCTACTTGTGGACATTTATTCTTCCATTTTGAATTTTTTTATAGGTTTACTGAGTCCCTCAGAAAAACAATTGGAACTTTATAGATTATGAAATTGTATATTAAAGGTTAATTTGAGGATAATGGTACCTTTATAATAGCAAGCCCTGCTGTGAAAAACATGGAATTTCACTGTATCAGATTATCTTCTAAATTCTTTATTAGAACTTTTGAAGTTTATTTAAATAGTACTAATAATTCCCTGGTTAAATTAATTTTCATAGAACTTGATTTTTATTGTGGTTGAAATGGTAGGTGATTTCTTATTTTATGGTTGGTTACTGTTGCCAAAGGATTCTTTTCATGTTTTGTTGGTCGATTTTGTATCAGAAGACACTGTGGAACTCTTATTCATTTAAACAAAATTGCATTTTTGGTTTTGGAGGTATATGATTAATCGTGACATGTATAAGTCACAATGCTTTCATCTTTTCCTTCCAATCCTTTCACCTTTTTTTAAATCTTTCTTCAAAGAAATAGCCTGAAATACTGAAATTATGTTAAAGAGTAATATTGATAGTGGACATCCCTGTCTCTTTCTTTATCTTAAAAGAAATGTGACTGAAGAGTTTTGGTTTATCACAATGTTTGCATGAGGACATTTTTGTGTAGAACTTATCTGCTTCTAGGAGTTCCATTTTATCCCTGGTAGCTAAGAGTTTTTCTTTTTTAAGTTATAAATAGGTACTGAAGTTTATCAAATACTTTTGTCTGCATATATGGGGCCTGCCATTTCATGCTCCCCGGTAGTATAGTAATTTAGTATTGCATAAAAGTAAGTTACCTGATGTTGGATTATTAATACATTCTGCGAATTCTTTTCTCCTTATTGTAACACATCATTTTTTATGCTTGTTCAGTTTGATCAAGTTTCATTTTATCTATATTTTTGCATCATCCTTTATTTGTGAAATGAGTACATTATCTCTTTTTCTTGTTTTGTCTTCCTGATTTTGGAATCCATTTTATTTTGGAATCCACATTGTAATCATTTATTAAATGATCTATATGGTAAGCAGAATGACCCTCCAAAAATGTCTGTCTGTCATATTTCCTGGGACCTATTAATATGTTGATTACATACCAAAAGGGACTTGGCAGTCATTATTAAGACTACAGCCCTGTATTATCTGAGCAAGTTCAATCCAATCCCATGAGGTCTTAAAAGTAGAGAGCTGTATTTCAAGTCAGAGAGATTCAGTGAAAGAGGAGAAAAGAGAAAGATGGCAGAAATGGAAGTAAGAGAGATCCTAAGCATGAAGGAATTGATACACTCTTCCTAGTAGGGGGTCGTATGGAAGGTCCAGAGACATGCCAACAGGAGCTCAGGACTCCACTATGAACAAGGACACCGAGATTTCAGTCCCACAACTACGAGGTACTAAATCTGGCTAACGAACTGAAAGCACTTGGAAGTGAATTCCATCTTCAGTCTCCTGCTAAGAAAGCCACCAAATTACTGACCTACAGAACTGTGCGATCATAAATATGTGGTTTAAGCAGCTATGTTCCTGGCTATCTTTACACAGCATAATTTAAACAAATGTTGGTACTAGGAGTGGGATGCTACTGCAACAAATATCTAAATATGTGAGGTGGCTTTGGAATCAGGCAGAGGGCAAAGGCTGAGAAAATGACAGGAGAATGATAGCAAAAACTACATTATCTTGAACAGAACATTAGTAGAAATACAGATGTTTGTAACTCTGCTATTGCAGATTCAAAATAGAATGAGAGAGCATGCTGGGGAAATCCCACATCACCTTTCAGAATACCTGTTGTTGGGAGCAGGCAGTTAGTAGGAATATTAACGCTTAAAGTGTGGCTGCGGAAAGCTCAGAGGACGTGAGGCACATGTTACAAGGGGAATTCTATTACTTAGTGCCAGAAAGCTTAGCAGAAATTTATTCTGCATTTATTTGCAAAGCTGTGCTTAAGAACAATGAACTTGGAGACTTACCTGAGATTTCCAACAAAATGTTGAAAGTGCAACCTGGTCTCTTCTTGCTGCTTGCACTAAAATGTGAGAGGAGAGAGAAATTGAGGGAAACACCATTAAACAATCAGGAATCAGGACTAGGGGATTGGGTTTTCTTAGTCAAGCAAAAAAAAAAAAAAGGAAAATTAAGAAATTGCTTCTGAAATGTGGCACACGAAGTATCTGAGAGTGCGGTGCTTACATTTTGTTAACAAAGATCAGAGTACTCAGTCACACAAAACCTCTGAGGAGACTTAAGAATGTGATTGACTATTTTGTTCTATTAGACCAGGGAGCTTCTAAGAATCGTAAGATCATTGTCCCTCAGTCCATCTCAGCAGAAGCTAACAATTGAGAAGGAATTATCTAGGAAAGATCTATAGCATGTATCCTATCTAATAGGGTGAATCCCCTTGACATGCTCGGAAGACCCACAACATTCTTGGGCATTTTAAATCAGCATAGAAAACTACCAGCTTGGGCTAAAAGAGACAGAGAGGAGGAAATTAAAGGGTCTTGGATCACAACTTTCGAATGCTTGGAAAACAGGTTGCTATAACTCTGCCTGATAACACATTTATTGTTTATGAATAGAGGGAGGATAACCAAATAACCAGAGGGCACAGTGTTGGCCCAGAGGGAAAAACCAAGAACTGTGGAGGATAATGTCCAAGGCTTGAAGCCTAAAGGACTTTCCTCAGCTGGATTTCAAAACTGGTCTTAGATTAGATTCCATAGCAAAGTAATAATCTATTCCTTGAAAACTTAAAACAATTCCCAGTAAATACATTTGGATTTAGAACTACCATGAGCTGTGTTGGCAGTATGCAGTCAAATTAGGTAGGTATTTTTTATGTTACTATTTTCATTAGTTTTTAATCAATGATTTTATTTTCTGTATCTCCTGACCCATTGTTTAATTGAAAAAAAAATCTTTTATACATTTGAATTTTAGGAGCACTTTTTATTTTATTTGTAATTGATTCCTTGCACTAACATTAGAGTAGGCTCATATATTTTATACTTTTTAAAATTTGTGGTTAACACTGATGTTTAAAGTTTGTCAGTAATAGAATTCTAACTTACGTTAACTAAATCAAAAGGTTCTATAATCTTATGAAATTCAAGGAAAGTTTGAATGACCAAGTAAAGGAGTGTCTGGGATGATTCTGAGTCTCAAAAATAATTGAATACATAAAAGTCACTTTCTACCAAGTCCATCTCTTTCTCTGCATATCTCTTTAGGTTGGCTTCAATCCAGGCAAGTTCAAAATGGTTTTCTCTCCATTATGGAAAAGAAACCTGACCATTAAAATACTCTAAGTGTTATATATCATAACCCAGCTATGGGAAAGAAATGGACATTATTCTGACCCACTCTTGGGTCCCAAAGAATGTACTCACTGGCCCTATTTGAGTTAGAGCTAATGAACTCGAACCAATAAAGTAGGAACAGTGGCTGAGCTCATGTTAACCTATCACCTAATTTTACAAAATAAATATGTAGATAGGAAGGTGAAAATTTTGAATAAATAGTTCTTAATTTCTAAAATCATCCAATGGTTAATTAGTACCATTTAATTTTTTTCCTCAAATATTATATGTCATATAAGGCAACTCCCTCCCTCCCTCCCTCCCTCCCTCCCTCCCTTTCTTCCTTCCTTCCTTCCCTTTCTTTTCTTCTTTCCTACTTTCTTTCCTTTCCTCTTTTCTTCCTTCTTTCCAGAGTCGTACTCTTAAGGCCAATACCACCCTAGACTCAGACAAGCAGAGTCCCTGTCGTAGGCTCATGCCTCAGGGGCCCAATATTTTGGAGTATTCCAGTACAAAATAAAAACATATTCCAAGTTGTCCATACCAGTGCTAAGGATCCTCCAGGGCTGTAATATCATCCAGGTACTGTTGCCTTAGCATTACAACATCACCCTAGGCAGGTACCCTAATGAATCAGGTTCTCACTTCTCCCCCTTATGGGGCTCTCCGAATCTCTACCCCTATGTACAGGGTTGACATAGAGCCCCAAAGAGCTACAAGACTTGTGTCTATGGAACTATTTTTGGGCCCCTTTGCTGGGCCTGGTCCCAGGAGGGCAACTTTGATAGTGGATCATTTCTGCTTGTTGGTTTGCTATTTCTTTCTCTGGAATGGGAGATTGGGCCACCATAATGATGACATACTGACATCAGACACAGGATGAATTTGGGTGTGTGAGATACCAGCAGCTCACTGCCAACCCTTAGGCTTGAGCCTTCTGTGTGGATCTGTAAATCAGCCTCTGATCAGTTGGGTTGGACTGTAGCGGTGCCTTTGGTCTATAGAACCTGACGGCAATGGTATAGCAGCAGATATCCTTTATCCTGTATATCACCCTTTGCTGGCACTCAAGGTTGTTACCCCATTCCTTCTGAGAGTCTATGCCCTTGCCAGGATGCCCCCAAGAGATGGTTGCACTTATATCTTCCAAGGACTTTCAAGGCCCTTCCTCCACAACAGTAGTAGCCCTTCTAATCAACCCTTGCTTGTCTCTGATAGGCATGGTGAAGTTGCACTCTCCCAGATCAGTCTTAAGCATGGATTGCTTGTCTATCCTCTCAGCTGGTGGTGGCATGTGAAAGGCAACTCTGAAAGAGACTTCATTCTAGAAATGCAATGATAATACCTGCAGAGTTCAAGACAAGATAGGGCTGGTAGACATTTGTTCTATATTTATGCTACACAATTATGAATGGTAAATTTACCATGACCAGGAAATGAATTTTCATTCACATTTTTCTCCATACTTTGAGATTTGCATTTTTATCATCACCATCAAGGCACAGTCATGACAGAGTCTTCGGAAGCCAGTGTTCATAGGCTCCACATACATGATACAGTGACTTGAGTAATAATGTAGTCGTTAATTAAATGGTATTAGCAAACAGCAGAGGCAATGACATATATGCTGTTTTAATACAAACAGGTTCCAAGGAACCATGACCTCACTGGTTATAACAGCATTATTACATTTTATTCATGGTGAAAGATATAAAACTAGTCAAGAATGGTGCATCTGAAATAAAGAAGGAACAATTGGTTCCTGGAAGTGAGAAGGAAGAGGTGGTACCGGAGACTATTCAGAATCTTTATATGCACTTATTAAAAAATAACAAGGTAAGTACCTCTTCTTTCCCCCATTTTTCTAATCTTCAGGAATAACTATTGAAATTTACATGGAGCCATGAATTTTATAATACAATTTTTAATCACACTGTTTATACAGAGAAACCTTTCTCCACAAAATATTTTCCCAGGGCCCTGTACAGAAAAGGGCAGCCCTGGTTGAAGACATGAACACAATATACACATATACACATATATATACACACACACAGACACACACACACACACACACACACACACACACATATATATATCTTGTCTAATTATTACACTAATAAACAAAAATAGAGTTAAAGTTTACTCCAAATAATTGTGATTGATTTAGAAAATGTTTTTTACTTTAAAGTTTTTTCTGAAGTGCATTTTAATGCATATTTTAAGAAACTGTGAATATGCAATCATAATATTCATATTTACAGAGACTACTCAAAGACTGAAAAAATGTGGGAGAGATTATACTGTATTTGATATACTATAGGTATATGAATGATGCAGTTAATTATTTTTTAAAAGTACTAATTATGTACTAACATAGACCTAAAGTAACTATAAGACTTAAATTTCAAATACAAATTAATAATTAATATTAAGCAATGACATTTATAAAGTCTTCAAAACATTTTTACCTATTAGTCTTTTGATAATTAATGCCCTTGATGTTTTATTAAAGATATCTCTAAAGGTTTTACAATGCCAAAAAGATGAAAAATATATTTTCTTTAGCTTGTATTTTTCATGATGGAATAGCGATGAAAGAGCAATTGGCTTTCAAAAATTAACAGATTTCAAGTTGCTAAAAATTCCTTTTAGCTCTTTGAGAAAAAACATAAATGTGATTCACTTTTGTCCTTTAGATACAAATTTGAGCTAGCTCATCTCAAAAAAGATTTCCCTTATGATAATGGTTTTTGTTTTGTATGTTTCTCTTGTTTCTAAAGCTTTCTAAAGCTAATCAAAAGCAAATTTAAGGGAAATGCATTCAAGAATTTTCAAAATTGCTATTTTTTTAAATCTCAGAAACAAAATAGAATTATTTGGTTTTTTCTTTACAACATTTTATCCTCTGCCAGAAAAGGAAAGCTTTCTAAGATCAAAAGAGTACAATAAAACCTCTCTCTTTTATACCCACTGACACTTTGAGGAAGCCCATTCAGGTCTGTGTAATGAGCCATTCAAGGCATAGACGAACGCAGATGAAATGCAGACGACTCCCGAGAAAAGATAACTTTATCTCTGCTGAAGGAAAGAGCAAGCAAAAAGGTAATGGTCTGAAAGAGGGTCATAAATAGTAAGAATTCAAATCATTGAGTGTTAAGTCCTTATTTTTCACAGGTTTCAGAGTGAGAGTTTATCAGACTCAGAAAATAATTACATTAAAATATTGCTATTAATCCATAAATAATGACTCTCTGACCTGGAAAAACATGTAAAGCCCAGGCATGAGTATGGGGTACATATTGTATTATAATTTATATTAGAAATAGTTTTTATATCCAAATGATAAAATAGTAACCATAATTATTCTTTATATGAAGATATTAGAACATATCATCATTTGGATAAGTAGGTCCAATGGACATATAAATTATACATACATTATATGTTTGTATGTAATCATTATGCTGTATTTTACAAAACATGCTAGATGAAAAGCTATATTATATTGGCATCCACAAAATGCCATGGCAGTCAATCAAACACATTTATTTTCAAGATCAGTATTCTGTTTTTTCTAATTGTGTTTCACTATACATCCACTTATTTCAATCTCTCATCCTAATTTTTATCACTTTTTGCTAAAATATCTACATGGGTATTTTCATATTCCTTCAGAATTTATTTCATCTTTGTGTCAACATGCAAAGAGTTTCTGAATTAC